CCCTCATCTGCTGTAGACTGCACAGTGGCTTTTTCTCTTTTTTGTTTTTTTTTGTATTTTCTCTGGATAAATGAAATCAAGCGAGTTTTACTCCGCCGAGAGGTAGCAATTGACTTCTAATGTCTCCGCAAGAAGGAAATGGCTCTATGTGCATTGCTGATTACATGCTCATGATGTATCCCTGGGTGCTGTACAAATAGCATTTAGACTACAGAGGCTTTTAACAATTTCTTTATGCAAATAGACAGTCTTCCAGTTGCTGCCAACCACAGCTGCTGTTGCCACCCTTGCGATGTTGAATTCAGCTCCTGTTGTAATGGATCAGCCGGAGATGCCACATCCAGAGCCGCCAGCTCTGGCGTGCGGACTAGAGCAGGCATCTGCCGTATCTTTACGTGAGCAGAATTGGGTTGTGGGTGCGCATGGATAGGTATTTTCTGCTCCTGAGGCACCAGGCAACTGCGCAGTGCTTCAAACGCGGAGGCTGAACCAGGTCCTTCTCCCAGAGTGCCCATGCCTATCTGCCTAGGACTGATTTGCGTTTGCTGAGTCGATCTGCAGGCTGATGATCAGATTCTTCTGTTATAAGCCTACCTGTTGCAGGAGGCTTTCTATTTCAACCCTATGGTGCTCGATTCCTAGACCCACTGCATTTTTTCTGAGACCTTGGAGTGGTTTTGACCTTTAAGGTGTCTTTGGCGTTTAGAGCATCCTGGCTGGAAACCTGATTAAATAAGCTACCTCCCAGCGTTTGCCTTTTGATGTTACAAAACTCAAAGGCATTACGCTGCAGACAACAGCATTAGTGTTTGGTTTGTTACAACAGCACCTCCTATGACCGTGCTCTGGAAAAAATTTCCACACGTCCCTGACGTCACTGCCATTTGCTTTACGCTGCCTGGATACCAAAGAGTGCTTTAACTCCTGGAGCACCACGTTACTTCACCCAGCTCTGCCCTTCAGCCCTGGCTGCCTCCTCTGCCTCTGGTGCACAAGAGGAAGACAAGAGGATGGAGTGCCTTTCTGACAGTGTTCCTCAGCCTCTGTGTCGCTGGCTGTCCCTCCTGCTTGCCTGTCTTTCATAGACTTTAAACGACCAGAACAGCCAGCTTTCATTGTGAGGCTTCTCCAGTGAGGTAGCTTTATTTTTTTATGATGGGGCTGGGGAGTGAGGAGAAATACTTCCACCTACTCCTTCCTCCCCTTTCCTTGTCGCTCATCACTTCAGGTCCTTCAAATAAACCACGTCTGTTTTGTTTGTAACTAGATAAGGACAGTCTGAGATCAAGCAGGCTCACTCTCAAGTACTCTTTGGCCTCTGCTTTTTCCTGCAGCCTGATTAGCATATAGTTGCTTGGCATGGGCTGGTTTATCCTTGTGGGCAGCCTGGTGATGCGTAGTATGGCATGTTACTGTGCAGTTAAGCAGTTGAGATAATCCTTGTAAACTGGTAACTGATACCCGGAGTCTGAGCCATTCTGCATCTCTAGTCTCTTCTCTGTTCTTCCTACCCTCTGCCCCCCGCCCCAAGATTGTTCAAGATATTCCCTTTAGACCGAAACTACATCCAATCTTTCTTTATTATTCACTCTTTAATTGGTGTGACCAGTGCCAGAGTGCCTTTGTAGGTACACAAGGCTGGTGAATCTGCAGTACTGTGACATGTTATGAGTACTTTCCTACATTTGAGATGGAGTACTGGAGCTAATTTGGGCCTGAATTCTGTTCCTGTTGTCTTTATTGGAAGTGATAGCTTGAATTACTAGGAGACATCAGGCTTTACAATTGCTTGTAAACCTGAATGAAACATTTACTGCTACTGTTCCCAGAAATAGCTCTGAACCCCAAGCACATCCATAGTATGGCCTTTTACTCTTGGGCACTTGGATCACAATCTGTCAGATGCAAGAACCCGCTTTGGTAGTTCTGGGTCAGCCAAGGGATCCTTTAAAATACGAGGGAATGTGGTTTAGTCTTTATGATCCCAAATCCTGATTCGTGGATTTCTAGATTTTCAGGGACTCATGCTTTCTGCCCCCCAAACAACTGGAGTGATTTACATTTCCTGTCTGCATCAGGGCGTAATCTCACTGTTACCTATATGTCTGTCTGAATTCAGTGTGCTGGCTCTTCCTTATAAGTGGCAAAGGTGGGAAATTCTGTCCTGAAACGTGACTGCTGTGAGGGCTTGATTTGATTTCTCTTTCTGTTTGTTTTCTCTTGCAGTTAAGATCCTCCTCTTCTATGTCATCTTCTACGGTTGCCTGGCAGGTATATTCATTGGGACCATCCAAGTGATGTTGCTCACTGTCAGTGAATTTGAGCCCAAATACCAGGATCGAGTGGCACCTCCAGGTAACTAAATAGGAGGCCTGTGTTTGACTTGGTGCAAGCTGTTCTGGGGAGGCGGGGTTGGTTACTCACCTCAAGAAGGAGGATGAAATAAGCATGTCGTTGCTGCAACACATATTTGTAGGGGGTGGGTATGTTCTCAGCCTTCTGTGTTAGCAGTACTGGGGCTCGAAGGCAATCCTGCTAGATTTAAAGGTTGCATCACATGAAAGATGTCTCCTCTCTGAGAGGAGCTTAAACTTGGTTTGCTTTTCCCTTCCCCTGTGCCAAAGTGATGGAGTGAGGAACTGGCTGTATGAGGAAGCTAAGTTCAGTTTTTCTTTCTTCATAGCTACTCTGTTCACATGGGTAAGTGAAAGGGACAAAGGCAAAATGTTGGGTTTTTTTGGTGGAACTGGCATGCACAAGGAGGAATCCCAGTTCTGGTTGTGCTTACTGACTTGTATTATCCAACACTGAACTACAGTGTGTGATCTAGAGGTGGGGGTAGCCTCCACTAGTGGGTATTTCAGTTGACTGCGTCGTGGGAGGTTAAAGGTGGGTCTTTTAGCTGCTATTGTATGACCTGTCTTTACACAGACAAAAGAAATCTCTGCTCAAAATTAAAATGATGGCCTTAGCAGTGTCTGTGGCCCGCCTGCCTTGGGTGGGGGCAAATGGAGTGAGTAGCCCTTGCCGCAGGTTCCCTGCTCCGCCTGTCCAGGCTGCGCTGCGCTATCCGATCCCGCCGCAGCCAGCGGCGGCTCAGAGCGCGGGGGGGGAGCTGCGCAACTGCTGCTTTCCCACATCACAAATGACCTTGAGGCTGCTTGGCACTGGGGATCCTAACGATCCGTCTCCAGTTGCTCTGTAAAACAGTTCAGAAGCTTTTAATAACAGTGGTATTTAAGTGACAATTGTGAGGCTGATGGCTTGTAGCTACAGAAGTTGGCTCTGGTGCTGCACTGTCTTACAGCCCTGCCGTATGCAGTGCTGTGAATCTCTGCCCTAAACACAGGGAATGAATGTCGCCATCACCAAATGGTGTTATATCTGGGCGAAGGATCATCTTTTGCAAATAAGTGCTTTTCCACCAGCACTTTTTAAAGACAGAACAGAGACTGGAACTGCTGTTTTAGAGTGTGGCACTTCTTCGTGTACCACCATGGCTGTGGTAAATGCTGCCTTAAGCACTGAAAGTGGTCTTTTCATCTCTAGCGGGCCCTGACATTTGCAGGAAAGACTGTCACTGATACTGCCCAGCTGCATCTGAAAAGCCAACATGGCTAATGGTGGGGTAGTTGTTACTTAATAATGTATTTTTCCCCGGCTGAAGTCCAGTGGTCTCACCAGACATGAAATAATTAGTGAAGAAGCCCATGGATCTTGGGTCTCATCCAGATAGACCTGCTGTTTAGCCAGATGTCACATAATTACTCGTTCTAGATAAACTGTTTGCTTTCTGTGAAATAGCAGTTTACAATCCAATTTCAAAGCAACTCTGGTAAAATTTCTGTGAAAGATTTCGGCCTGCGGAGGATTTTTATTCATCTCTTAATTGCATACTGCACCAGTTTTTCTGGGGCTCTTTTTTTTCCTAAACAAAGAAAAGGAATTGAATTTCAAGACGCTCTTGTAGCGTGTACTGCAGGAATCAAAATGGAGGAACAATGAAAAGGTTATTGGGAATCTTTTGTAATGGGCTTTTAGGACATGTACTGAAATCAAGGAGAACGAAATCCAGCTCCCTGAATATATGACAGTGGGCAGCCAGTAAACAAGAGCTTTGAACCAAGCTGCAGTGTCACATGCGTACAACTTCAAGGAAATAATTATTACATTAATAGCACTGGGCCCTTTTGCAGGGCATTATGCGACAGCTTCTTCTACAGATGTGGACAAGCTGGGTGTAAGGCATCGTGCAGGCTGGCTCTTTCTGTCCAGTATGTTCCTTGTCCTGTAGCACAGCAGCCATTAGACCACAAGTCAAAAATAGCCCTTTGATGTAAGCTTTCAGAGAGATGGACATGGTAGCGAGTTGCTGCACTGCTGTCTTTGGGAGGTCAGCAATGCCTATATTCCCCTGCTGTGCAGGATTCTCCCCTGTGCTGCAAGCACAACTGCTGCTCTTACAATGAACACACATGGGACCAGGTTCACTGCTGCACTTGGTGAGCACCAAACTTAAATTTTTTGTGATCTAAGACATCTGTAGATGATTAACTGTATAAAATAGGATGTTGTGCAATTCTAATTCCTAGTTCTTGTGGGAAAATTTGCAAGCTGAGTAAGTATATTGGCAGCTTGATAAAGCCCTGGATTTTCTAGGAAGCCAGAAAACCGGGTTTTATTCTTGTTAGAATGCTCTGTCCTTCTTGGGCAAGTCCCTGTTGTGTCAGCCCAGAATATCCGAGAAAGGGGGAACTAGACTTCCCTTCAGGGTTTGCAGGAAAAAATGCTGTAGGGGCTGCTAGAATATCATTCTTGTTCCAAAATACAACAGATTTCGTAACAGCAACAGAACCTACAGGGTGTTTTATTGAGTTATTGACATGGGTATAACATTGAAAGCCATAAAGTGCTATTTTTGTAGCCAAGTGTCATTAATATGGTAATTGGTTTCTGCATTGAACACAACAGGAATGTTATGCAGGGCTTCAGGGCAAGCTGAGTATTGTACCTTTCCATTATACTATTTTTTTCCTTCTTTTGTCTTGCGGTGGGGGAAGGGATGGTGCAGTTCACCTTGTCCAGCCCTGCCATTGCGACAGCCCCACCTCCCAGCTCCACGTGTGCTGCAGGCTCGGACTCCACTTTAAGCACAGAGGACTTACCCTGCTAATAGGGAAGGATGAGGATATTGCCTCCTAAACAGTGTACTGAGTGTTTAAAAAATAATCCTCCCTTCTCCTCCTCCCCTTCCCCATCCCAATATCAATTGGGCTGTGTCTCCTGCCATCTTGTGGTGCGAATCCCGTGGAACAGCATCTGGTTATCCCATCCCTGGGGCTGGCACAGGGGACAGAGCTCACTGCTGCCTGAGGCACTTTGTAAGTGGTATCTGGAAGGAAGAATTCCCGCCAGGGGATTTCAGGTGTCCCTGCTTCAAGTGCTGCCTGGGCAGTGAGTGCGTCATGGAAAAGGCTGCTCTGGTATGTGTCCCCCACTTGGTTTATTTAGCCTGGAGAGCAGCAGGGAGGTGGCAGGAAGGCCTCAAAGGAGCATGTGCTCCCTCCTGTGAAGTTGCACTTCCTTGCTTCTATCTCTTGTTGTCTCAGCACCTATGCTTGGAAACATCTCTGAATCTCAATTCCAGGCATGTTACTATCAACCAGGTTTTGCTGCATTTGTAGAACACTTGCACCTGCTTTTTGCACTTTGGGGGTTAAGTAGAGGGTGACTGGAAGCTTGGAAGGGCATTGCTTGGTATGGAGGCTTTTAAAATCTATCCTCGTTTAGTGAGCTGGTGGGGGAAGGTAGGATGTCGTGATCACTGAGTTTGTCATCTGTGTCATCCCAGGAGTGTTCAGACTCATTCTGAACCAAGATTACATGGTGCTTAGAAATGACCATTGTATCATGAAGCAAGAGAGGTTACTACAGACTTATACAACCATTCCTAATAACAAGCCTGACTTCCCACTATTAGTTTCTTCCTCTTCACCCTGAGGACACATTCACCTAAAGTCTTACTCTTACAGCTTAAAATGATAAAATCTCTGTGGAGAATTGTTTTTTAAATGAACTTGAATAAATGTGATTTTAATCTGCAACAGTATTTTGGAAGTGGAACTGTAGCTGAAAAAAAACCCAAGTGACTTTACGTGCATTTTTTTTGGTATTTCATATCCTTGTATACTCACAGAAAACCAACAGAAAGTGGTGTCCATTCCCAAGTCAAGGCATCACTCATCATTTGTGTGGACAGTGTCAGTCAAGTGAAGATGGGAATGAATCATTTCCCAGCAAGAAACTCTTAAGAGCCAACTGCAGCGGCTTTCTAGATTGTCAGTATTTTAGCAATAAGCTGATTCCTTCCTGTGGGAGGAAGAGCATCACCACACGTGACACCATCGTGCATCTCTGGTAATAACATGAGATACGGAGCCGTGTGCATACATTGTAGTCTGAAGGTGGGGAGAGGGTTTAGACTCCTGGCTGTGAAAGCACTTGAGGCTTTGTTTCTTTTCTTCCATAGGACTTCCTCATGTGCATGAAGCCCCTTAGAGCTTCATTCATGCCAGTAACTCAGTGGAGCCACACACTTACTTGGATGTCTAGTAGCCCATGGGAGGTAGCACTGTAATGGCTCAGATTAGTAATTTTTTTTCTTGTCCCTTCTTGCTTCAGTTACCCAGTGGAGGTGATTGTTGCAGAAAGGTTAGTGTTCTCCAGAGGTTACTTTCTGTCATCATACAACACACTTGTTTTTTTACACAAGATTGCTTAAGAAGAATTCAATGATTGTTCTGCTCTGATAACAGCACTGAAGCTTTTATTTTGGCCACGAGATGTACAGATGGAAAACAAAGAAGGAAGTAATAGATCAGTGCTTAGGGCTCTGCACTCAGTCAGTTGCAGGCATGTCAGAAAGGAGGTTGTGGTGGAAGCCACTAAGTAATAACTTTATCCTAATTTTACAAATGTATTTTTCATGACAAGTCTTTCATCTTCATGAAGATTTACTTCCTTGCTTCATAAGTGGGAAGATTGATCTCCACTTTGCTCTTGTCCTAAACAAAGAAAGCACTGCTGTACCAAAGCCTGGTCTAGTCTAGTTCATCAGAGTACCTGCAAATGCCCCCAGTTAGGCAGAAAGTAGCCCAGTGATGGCCACAGGCTACTTGGCAGGAATGGTGGTTCCCTTGTGCTGGCTGCTGGAAGAGCTTTGTGGTGGTACTGCCTGGGCTTCAGTGCAGTTCTGTGTGGATGCTTTGGGATTGGAGTCTGTTCTCCCAGCCAAGTCACTTGTCCATGGGCAGAGGGCTGGCTTTGGACTGTACCTATCAGTGGCCAGGCTCTCCTAAAGAGAGAACAGGGATGTTCTGGGTGGCTTTTACAGATGGCAGGGTGTGTGTTGCTGACCTTCACTTCACCTTTGCCAGGCCTGTGTGGGTGCCCTTATGTGTTACCTTGGCCAAGACAGGAAAGAGAGGTGGGGAGGTGCTGAGTAAAACTAACAGCTTAACTTGCCTGACCAAGCTTAACAAAAAGCCATGCTTTCTTGAATTTTTTTTTTTTAACATATGTACACTTGAATGACACACCTGTAACTTGAACTCTGGAAAAGGCAGACCTGGGAAGAGTACCCAACGTCTGGCCTGCCTCTCCTGCAATTCTAGACAGCCATTTCAGGTGACTCTGAGCCTGTTGCTTCCCAGCTGAGTGGTAACATGAGAAAGGCTTGGCAGAATAGGATTTAAGTCCCTTACTAAAGTGGAATCTGGTGTATTTATTCTACATATATTTATAACTGTTTGTGAAGCAAGAAAACAAGTAATTGCTTGAAAGGGGGTTGAAAGCCAATGTTTGGAAGGCAGGATATAATTTTGCTAGTAGAATAGTAAGTTGCTTCTAAACTTTTGACACTCAGCCTCGTCCGTTTGTATCAGAGGGAGTCTTGGGCAGTTAAAGCTGCTTCATGGAATAAAATGGGAAACACTCAAGCTCCTTGCTGGATGTCTCGCAATCTTTAGTGGCTGGGAACTGCTTTTAGGGGAACAAAGCTAATCTTTGTCCTAGGTTACAAATTCCAAGTTAGTGGGGGGGGTGTGGTCGGTGGGGGCGTGGTGAGTTGGTTTGAGGAGGGACTAAGCAGAAGCACTTAACTAGCTTTGGAAAAATTGCTGGAGTCACAAGCTCTTGTGGGTTGGGGCCAACCAGCTAAGCTGCTGGAGTTTTGCACCAGAGGAACTTGTTGGCAACAGGCCTGTTCTGAAAGCTGTCGAAGCAAATGCTGCTCCCCTGCTCCTTTTCTTGATCTTACTAAAATGAAGATGACAAACTGAAATGAAGTCAAGACCTCAATATTTACTGTGGCTGCCATAAAAGCAGCATGAACTCGGTTCCCATTACTTAAGTTTTAAAGTGTTAGCCATGTGTCAATATATTCAATTAAAATGTGACCTAAACATTGCACAGGAGCAACCACTTCCAAGTTCCACAATGAAGGGAAAAGAAGTTGGTGCTTTTCATCATCTGGAGGCATTTCTTGTCTATAGTCCCTTCTCTTTTCCATGCATTATTTTTCTATTCATCCTCCTAAAGTTTAAAGCAGAGCCAGTTAATACAGTTCAGAATCTGGAGAGTCTTTTAAACAAAGTCTTCTGTGTAGTGGCATTTCCTACTCACCTACTTGGTGATGAGCTTCTGATGAGAGAGCTCAGAAGATGAGTTCTGCAGCCAGAAATACCCACTTAGGCAGTGAGAAAAGCGGAGGCAGCTATCAGGCTGATGAGTTTACTGAGGGAGAAAATGTCTCCTGCCCTGCATCCTACAAGACTACACAAAGGCAATGTGGATTACAGCTAGTGACATGACTTGGGGAACCTCTCTTGTCTTTTATTGCAAGGGTTTATGAGTGGACAGCTCAGATGTATCCTAAACACAGTGTGTTTTGCAGGCTTTTAAGTCAACCTGTTAGGGATATGTACATTCTGTGTGGTTGGTCTTGCATGCAGACAGCTTCCCTTCTGCCCTTGAGGAGGAGGTGGAAGTGCATGGTGGACCTGTGGTTGACTTTTTCTTGAGGAGAGCCTTGACTTGTAGCCTCCCTTCTGTATTTTGTGGGTTTTGTCTGCTTACCTAATGCAAACATTGTGATAAATATGCAAGACTGTTATTAGAAAGAGGAGATATGAACTTCTCTAGTGAGCTCAAGCTGTTTTTCAAAGTTCATAAGTCTGAAAAACAGAGCTTATTATTAAGAGTTATGTTCTTGGTGTGCATTGTATTGCCTGGAGGCTGTGTAACCCTGAGGTGTACTTAATGTTTTCTTCCTGATTTTGCTTTTCTTAGGACTGACTCAAGTCCCTCAGGTTCAAAAGACAGAAATTTCCTTTACTTTTGGTGATGCCAAAAGTTACGATGCGTATGTAAGGAACCTCGAGAATTTCTTAAAGGACTACAGTGCTGATCAACAAACTGAAAACATAGTATTTCAGGACTGTGGGGGTAAGTCTCGATTGTTTCCTATAGGATTCTGACTGATGCTTCTGTGTCAGGTTCACCAGAAGCTGAGAGTGAGCAGTGGTGGGCTTGGTCTTCAGCTGTTCCCTTTATTGCTGCATGTTGGTAAACTGGCAGGTTCTGGTTTCAGTCATATGGCTGCTCATTAATTTTGTTTGGACAAGACCACAGCTTATTGTAGAGGTTATATGGCTGGCTCCAACATTTCACTTGGAGAAAGTTGCAGCTGACTCTCTGAAGCACGTGGTGCTGACCTTATCCTCTCTGAAAGCCATGGGGGTTTTACTCACCACTTTGCTAAACCCACTGTTGGTCCTCTTGAGGAGATGCAGCCAAACATCTGGGAAGTGTTAACCTTTAATAGGTTATATCGAATCATGTAAATGAGACTATCACCTCATAATATGTGCATATCAAATCTGAGGGGAACCTGCTTGTAAAAGGTGACCAAAAAAAAAAGAATCTCTGAGCCAGGTGATTTCAAATCTTCTCTTGTGTTCTGGAAGTTATAAAACAAATCCCTGTGAAAAGTTGCTGGTCTGGGACCAGCCCCCACGTGGCAGGCAGCTGTGTGTAGGTCTGTGGTGTCACTTAACTGCCTGGGCAAGGGGGAAATCCAAACTACACTGGGAAGTATAAACATTGCTGTTCCTGACAAGCAAAAGATCACATTGCATATGGTTTCCTTTTCATTCCCCTGCTGTGACAGACACACCTTCTGACTACAAAGAGAGAGGACCATATAATGATGTCCAGGGTCAGAAGAAGGTCTGCAAATTCAAACGTGAATGGCTGGAAAACTGTTCTGGATTAAGCGATCCCACCTTTGGGTACAGGGATGGCAAACCATGCATCCTTGTCAAGCTCAACAGAATTATTGGCTTCAAACCTCAGGCAAGTATCTCTTCCCTTTCTAGCAGAAGCTACTGATCAGGAGGAGGAGTTGGCTGCAGGTTTGCTGTGCCTGCTTTTGAGTCTCTGGAAAGAGATCAGTATTAAGCCCTTTCTGCAGAGGATAAATTTTGAGACCATTTAAGTAATTGAGTTTAAAACACTTTTCATTACAAAGCAGTGAAAACTGGTGCACATCAAGATGGTAACAAGTAGCAGTGAACCACATAGTACAGCTTCCTGGTTATTGATCTGGTAACTTCTGAGCCTGCTAATGGAGTTCCTGTAACAGGCTGTTTTGTTCAAACCATAAACCCCATTTTAAATTACTGTATGATTCCATAGGACCATCCCAGACCAACTCTATCTGTAGTAACATTAGTACTTTGTGTCATGCCCTGATCCATTCCATTCTTTCCTCAGGCAGTGTAGACTTGTCTGCCTTGCTAAAACTGCTTAATTAAATGATGGAGTGCTAATATTAACAACCAGACTGAAACACAGGTTATAAAGAGTAAACCACATTTGAAAGTCAGGCACAGCTGCAAGAACGGTGAGGAGATCTATAGGTTATTTAATATGATTTCCCAAAGGCTATAGGATGTCTCTGTCACCTGGTTGCTCTGTGCTGCACCTGAAGGCAAATTTGCAGTAATGCTGAAGGATGTTAATCTGGACATGCAATGGCTTTTATTTCTGGGTTTTTTCCCCAACACATTTAGATGCTAAAAATTTCTTCAAGAATTCAGTGTCAATGTGCTGTTGAATAAGGTGGCATGCAAAACCTGCCACTCCATCTTCTGTAATGGAGAACAGTGCAAATGGTGTGCTACGCTGTCTTCACCACCATCTGTCAGGGCAGTCGAGGACAGGGAATGGTGCAGTCTAGCTAACAAGTCCTGAGGAACATTATTCTTCTAGTGGAGCCTGTCCCATGCTAAAATAAATGAGTTTAATTCTGGTTTATCTGTTTTGTGGTGAAAACAGTGAGTGCATTTTAGAAGGAATGTGCTGTGCTTGGTATGTAGTGGCTGTGGGATGACACGAGGTGTGCATGTTTGGCTGGGGAAGTGAAGGGCTTGGTGTGTTCCTCTTTTCTTTGCCATGGAGCTCTGGAGAGCTCCAGACTGCATTAGACAGGAGGTTCTAGTCAAGGAATGACTTTTCATGTTTCATATAGAAATGACATGTGTATCCAAGGCAGTATTTGTATTCCTCATTACATGCTCAGCAGAGACACTGTAACTCTTGCGCTGGGCAAGGTGTGTGTAAAGCAGATCTGAAACTGCAAGGTTGTCAAGCAAAACTACTGCACTTAGAGACCAAAGACCAACTGGGTTAATGGTTGGGCTATCAGAGTTGGCACTCACACCCTGCCCTGACACCCAGAGCTTTTGTCCTTCCTTGTAGGTGGTGTCGAAGTTCAGCAACACAGGGTGTGACTGCCACTCTTTGCTCTTTCTTCTGCATTTCCAGTTCTGACTGCACACACCTGGCAGGCGGGTGGCAAATCTTCCACAGTGCATCTCTTCCTGCCACTGCCTGAGCTTTGCACAAACAAGCCCTGCTAGCTATAGGCACTCTGCTGTGAAACGCTTACCCCAGTGGCACCAGGGAATTAAAAATAGCCTGACCAACTTGTATCCACAGCAGGTAAAGCTGTAAGAACAGACAACAGTTCTGCTTGGGTTAAGTTCTCCTGGTTTTAGTTGTGTTACACTACTTGTCTGTCCCAAGAACTGCCAGGAACTGTTGCCTCTGGAACTGCTCTAGAAAGGATTCCAGTTAACGTGTTCAGTTCTGCTGACCTTTGCTGCCACAAAGGTACTCTGATCTGCAGAGGAGGGTCCACTCTGTAATGTCCCCTTGTTCTGGATTTTTTCTAGGCTCCAGAAAACGAGAGCCTCCCTGTCGAGGTTATGGCAAAATACAACCAATATCTCATCCCAGTTCACTGCGCTGCCAAGGTAAGTTGAAATATAATAGAGCAGAGTCATGAAGCTGCAGGGGATGACAAAGTCTTTGTCCAAGCACAGTTACCCCTCTCTGCCTTTCCACAGACATATGGGGTGGTTCTTGCTTGGGGTATCTCCCCCTCCAGAACAGAAGCTACTCGAAGTCCCACTGTTGGATGAGTTTGTGCTGCCCTCACAGTGGGCGGTAAAAGTAGGGCCAGATAGCTAAAGGTATCCTGAGAAGTAGCCATTTTGCTTTCAGGTGCTGTACTGGACCTGAAAAAGGGATTCCAGGGAAGAGATTTCATACTTGGCATTTGTAAAGCAGCTGAGAAAGAGCAAACTTTAGCCAAAGGTTGTGCATTGATGCGACAGGAAGCTGTGGCAGTTTCCAGTTGCATATAGTGGCTGTAGTTTTAAATAAAGCAAGACCCTTTTCCTGTCTGAGGTGTGCAGGAAGGTGCTTATTGTGTGTGCCCTGATTAGATATCACTGACTTGTCCTCTCTACCACTGGGACATCCTCGTGCTGCCAAGGTGGGGGGTCAGTGATGACCAAAGCAGAGGTCGCAGTCTTGCTGGAAAACAAACGCCACTAGGGAAAAGGGCTGCCAAAGGAGGAGCGTGGGTGATTGTCATTGCTTGTGCTTCCTTTTCCCACCTCTAGCGAGATGAAGATGCAGACAAAATAGGCACGGTGGAGTACTACGGGATGGGCGGCTACCCCGGCTTTGGCCTGCAGTACTACCCCTACTACGGCAAACTGCTGCAGCCGCGGTACCTGCAGCCGCTCGTGGCCGTGCAGTTCACCAACCTGACCTACGACACGGAGGTGCGCGTGGAGTGCAGGGCCTATGGGCAGAACATCGTCTACAGCGACAAGGACCGCTTCCAGGGACGCTTTGATATTAAATTTGACATAAAAAGCAGCTGATTGTAAGCACAACTCTCTTCCTCCCCCCTCCTCCTCCTCCTCCTCCTAGCCATTTAAAAAGGTTAAAAAAAAAAAAAAGAACAAAAAAGAAAACCTACTAGTCTTGAACAAACTGTCATACGTATGGGACCTACACGTAATCTATATGCTTTACACTAGCTTTCTGCATTTACTAGGTTAGAATGTAAACAAAGTGTAGCAATAGCGACAAATATTTATTCTACTGTAAATGACAAAAGAAAACAAAATTGAGCCTTGGGACATGCCCATTTTTACTGTAAATTATGATTCCATAACTGACTTGTAGTAAGCAGTGTTTCTGGCCCCTAAGTATTGCTGCCTTGTGTATTTTATTTAGTGTACAGTACTATAGGTGCATACTCTGGTCATTTTTCAAGCCATGTATTGTATCTGTTTTCTACTTCTTGTGAGCAAAGATTTTTGCTGTCCAAGGTGTAAATACTCAATGGGACTAGAACTGGCATGATACTTCTCATTATTTTGTTCCTTTTCAAAGAAAGGCCCACCTGTGAGATGATATTTAACAGCACTCCATAAGGCTTCTGGCTTTTCTGTGGTGTTAGGGTATTTTATTTGGAGGGGTGGCAGGGGAAACTAACTTAAGTGAAGATAAAGAGAATAGATGATTGTGTACTGTGCTTTGTAGCGAATGCTGTCTCTCCACCTCTTCCCTCATCCTCCTGTATGCTGTGTGAGAGACTGGGTCAGGCTATCACTTTACTCGGTGATAGGCATAACTCTTTGCTTTGTATATTTTCTTTTCTTTCTCTTTTTTTTTCCTGCTGAAGGCATCGCACACTGTGGTGCTAATGTCTTTATTGAATGTTTTAGCCATTTTCATGGTGGAAGAATTTTATATTTATGCAGTTGTACAATTTTATTTTTTCTGCAAGAAAGTGTAATGTATGAAATAAACCAAAGTCACATGTTTGAAAATAAAACTTTATTTTAAACTTTATAAAAGCAATGCAGTACCCCATAGAATGGTGTTAAATGTTGTCTAAAGTGCAAAACTCTATGTTCTAACATGTAATAATAGCCAGGAGTACAGTGCTCTTGTTGATCTTGTATTTCAGTCAGGTTGAAACATTGGACAAATAAATGAATGAACACACTGTTCTGTGTGCGTCTTTTGCAAGGGGTGAGGTGAGGATGGAGGCTGTTAGTTGTCCAGAATCTTGAAGAAGTACTGCACCTATTTCAAAGAGAAAATACACTTTTATCAGTCCCAGATGGTCTCAGTGTAAGGGAGTTGAAACATCTGAAACCTTGAGCTGTTACACATTAGCGCTGGTGTCTGTTAGTTACTTGTTATCCCCTCTCCTGGCCACGGAACCCAAGAAGTCTATTCCCTGTTACTGCAAGCTCTCCACAGCTGGAGGCACAGGCCATGTGTTCTAGCCATAACTACAAGTAAAATGGTTGATCCTCAGTGCAGGTTAAAGCTTCCTGAGGCAGTGTGTGCTGTGTAGCCAGAAGGCAGGGCACACACTGAGGTCACAAGAGAGTTTCATGGCAGCAACTTGCACTGTGTTGCTGTTGGGCCAGTGGCCAGCACTGAGGACAGGCTGTGCCTGATGGGGCTGCTCAGATGTGACAAAACATGGCAGCTGGCTTCCTGCAGGAGTCAGGCTCGCTTTATGCTGCATGACGCAGATTACGGGAAGAATTTCTCTGTGTAATGTGGCAAAACGTGACTACCCTAGAGCAAGCGGCTTGATAAAGACTTCCTAATCTAAACTCACAGTACCAGAAAAGCAAGATGCTAAGCTTTTTGCCATTTGCTAGAAGGAAAAGCCTGGTTTCAGTATAGACCATGCTGGTTTCTGCACTCCTTAAGATGTTTCATGTTGTTCCCGAGGAGCAGGTGCCGGCAGAAATTGCACCTTCAGCTGTTTCATTTGCTGCTCTATGTTTATAGCAAGGCAAGGACTTAACAAACAAGCTGTGATGAAAGCTCTACAATCTTTCCTGATGGAAGCTCCATCTGCAACAAGAGCTTTGGGAAAGCTGAGCCATTTTGGTGGGCTCCTCCTGCCACCATTTTGGGTGAGGAGTGGGGGTGTTGCTGCATGGCTCAACATCTGGTAGGATCAACTGTCCCTACAAATCAATTCTTAGGTTCACAGCCTGAGACAGTTAATAAAACCCCACCAACACAAAACAAAAAAACCCCAAACCCATCAACCAACCAAAATAAACTACAAAACCCCCTAACTGCTTTATTTATATAAGACCCAAGTCACGGTTAGCTAATTTATCTCCTTTTAATTTTCTATGTAAGTGCAAACTCCAAGTATGAACTACTAATAAAGATAGTGGCTTATTCCAGGGGTTGGGACGAACACTGTGGAAAACTTACAGTGCTTGTGTTGGCTTCAGTGAGCAAGTGTTGAAAAGGTCTTAGGAACTGCATATGAAATTAGGCAAAAACAAACCTTTACCCAACATCTCTGCCCCAATCACTTTCCTGTACCACACAGTGAAAGCAGGTCGGCTGCTCAGATCACTAATTAACCAAGCAGAAGGGCTGCACATGCCTGGCACCGCCCACTGAAAAGACCCACCTGTTCACAGGCTTCAGGACAACTCTGATACCAAAGGACCGTACCCCAACACCCCCCCCAAGAGACACACACTCTGATATATCCCCTTTTCCCATTAGAAATGCTGCAGTAATTTGTCAGACCGAGTAGAGATAAAGCAATAAAAGGCTGCAGGATTATTTAAAAAAATTCCAAACAACCAAAGTCCAAAAAAACCTCACTCTACCCCCTCACCCCACCCCTGTGACAAGCAGGTATAGTCTCTTGGCTGGCCAACCAGCTCGCCCAGTGGCACCAGTACTTCTGGTACACAACAGTCTTGATACTAAAATGGCCTTTCACAAACTGGCACTGTCACAGTCTTGCTGGGCTAAGTGGCTGATCAACAGCCCTGGGAGCAGGGAGGCGGCAGGCAGGGGAGGGGGTCAAAATGTGACATCTCATCAACTCAATTTGAAATATGCTTTGCCATCAAGACTTTTCTTTTAATATGTGCTGTATTGTCTGTAAAACTCCAGTCTCCTCAGAAAGGCATCGCCTTCCTTACTGCCTAATAGGACATTATGTTATAAACTGCCAGTTTGAACATGTTGTTCTTTCTGCCAGATTGACTCAACATAGTAAAGAATAATTGCAGCCATTAAAGTGAATTTCATCTCCCTTCTTGTTATATGGGACACCTGCATTTCATAGTTAAGAGAGACACACAAAACCACTAGTAAGATAAAAAGCAGAGAGAGAGAGAGAGAGAAAGACACACACACACACACACACATATATATTTAACAACATAAGCCTTTATGGATGTGTCTGCACAAACATTTGCACTAACACACACCAGCTACCAGTTTTACAGCTCTGAGCACTGGCACTTCTGGGCTTCTGTTCCCAGCTTGGTCCAGGGCACCTGGCCAGCACAGGCTGGGCACGACCCACAGCGTGTGTTGGGAGCTGTGCCAACAGGAAAGAAAAAGGCCAAGTGCAGTGGCATTTGCTCCTTTGTGGATAATAACTCTGTGTCCAGCCTCAGCCTGGGGTGCTGATACAACTGCTGCCACCACAGCCTATTTCCCTGCAATGGGGCAGGTTTAATAGAGCTGAGTCAACCTCCACCCCTGCCTGGGCTGCCTTGGCCACAGCTGCATAGCCTCCCCTGGGGTCAGTCCTGATCCACGGCTGCAGCACACACTGACACACGTGAATGCTGTCCTTGCCCAACGTCTGCTCACCTGCCATTAGCAACAAAAAGGTGTAGCGCTATTTTAGTTCCTAAAGGCCCTGGATTTTGTGCGACCAATTTTCCCAGGCCAGGCTAAACAACTCGGCTTACTTACAACCTGTGCAAACGCTCTTCCTCCTCAATTAGCTTTTATTGAATTGTTGAAGATCCACACAGACTGTACTGGCAAGGCTCGGACATCAGAACAAGCACACTATGTATTGTATACTGTTTAAACTAGTGCCAGTATGTTCTCTTTATATATAATTATCTTTATGTGGGTCAGCTGCCACCCAGCTCCCAGTAAAACCAGTTAAGAGCTGGCACACCTGTGGTACACAGGAAGGATCCTTCTCTCCAAGAACCTCACCCTTGGGAGCATGGCAGTGCTGGACAAAAACCACCAGAACTTACCCCACTCACATGGCAACAAGTATGGTGTTATGCAGAAGAATCAATACCAAGGATTTCAGCATTACCAGGAGATTTGGGGTGTCCCAACTTATGAGGCCCCAGCTGGAGACAGATTGAAGAACCTCCATTCTAAAAGCACCAGGTCCTTTTCCAAGGGGATCTAGAACTTGAAGATACTTGCATCAAGCATCCAGATGGGAGTTAGGCATTCCAAAGTACTCTGCATTTTAGGAAATAGTTACTCTCTTTGCCAGGGTCTGAGCATAGTACAAACCATAAAAAAGGGAGCTGTGTCTGTACAAAACAACGAGCCTCACATTTGCCTAAGGGCAAGGTCAGCCTCTCTGAGCCTAGCACACCTCTGGTCTTTTTACAGGACCCAAGGGTGGCAAACCCACACCAGGAACAGATCTGAAAACAATCTGATGCATTTCACAGATGCCACCCAAATGCCCTTCACATTCAGGTGTGCTCACTCCTTCCCAGGGATGAGATAGGATTAAATTTAACATCAGTACTCCCCTTACAGATCCCAGGAACCATCTACCTGCTTTACAGCATTGCAGCTATGCCCTCTCTAGCTCCTGTTCAGGGACAAATAGCAATAATGCTCAGGAAGTATCAACGGGTGAATAACCATGACCTTCTGGCTCTGACCCTATAAACTGCTTCACCGAGGAGTGGCTGAGAGCTGCTTCAGTTCTGTGAAGTGTGCTTGTCACACACACTCTATGCAAAACTCATGTAAACAAAGTTGGCTGCTCTCTCTGAGCACTTCCACTCAGTACCCCAAAGTTTCAGGAGTTAATACAGCAGGCAATAACAAAATCCAGTCTAATGCCCTGGCTGAGTACAAACAACTATCATCTGAATAAAAGCATGGGAAGGTTGGGCAAAATTAAAAAAAAGAGGGAAGCAACAAATGAGACAGTTTTCCAAGGGAGAGAAAAACATCTTAATATTAACGCAGGACGCAGCACAGACACAAAGTGTCCTGAAGATTTCAAGTATAAGAATTACAGGCACCTACAATTTAATTCTCCTTCTGCCCAGAAAACAAAGCAAACAGCAGTGCTGATGAGAGGTGCCTGCTGAGCAGCTTTGGAGTCAGGTGCTCTCGTATACAGAAGAACAGACCAAGGTACACCTTGAACTGTACCAGTACTTCATACAGGCAGCATTACAGCTTTCCTCAAAGAAAACCTCAGCACTGAAAGGATACCTCAAAACATTCACAGTCCATTCCCCTTGTTCCCGTGTCCTGGCTGTTTTTGGTAAGAGGCCCTGTTAGTATCATTCATGGCAAAAGAAAGGGGGCTGACAGGGAGACATACTAGCAAGAAAAATGCTGAGTTCACAGATTCACTTCTCATCCATCACCAGAAAGATGACGGCAGTTTCAGTCCTTCCTCATCTCTGCCAAACCAAAACTGGCAGCTGGGAAAGTCTTTTTCATCCCTGTTTGCATGTAGAGCACGTCAGTAATCTCGGTGCTTTCCATGCAGCTGGACAGATGCTCACCAGTACCCTGTCCCCAAAACCACCACAAAACTGTATCTCCTTGACTGCATCCAAGCACATGATCCAGAGAGTCTTTGCTGACTTGAAATTTCAGCATCAGTACATGCTCCCCAAACACTTAGGTCTGATAATTTTTTACATGTTATCTCAGTTTGAGGTCACAAGTAGAAAAAAAAAATCTCTTTTTTGCCCATTAATCTTGATTTGTACATCAGCATGAACTTGCCAACGCCGTTAGCAAGCACACTTGCTAACACCCACAGTGCACTCCAGTTACAGTTCACTCAGCTGATTCACATGACTAAATCATTAGATTAAGGACCAAAAGCCCCATGGAGTCATACCATCCTTTGAGCCACAAGCAGTCCAGAAATAAAAATGGATGTCGAAAGAGAGCCTTCTTACTCGCTGTAGT